TATTGAAGGCTGAAGTCCTTGACCTTCTGCAGCAAGTGCTTCAGGTTCTTCTCAGTTTCAGCAAGCAGGGTTGTGTCATCTGCATAATGCAGGTTGTTGATGACTCTTCCACCAATCTTGATGCCACATTCCTCCTTTGAGGAATATTAACGTACAGCCCAGCATCTCAGATGATCTGTTCTGAATACAGATTAAAAAAGGTATAGAGACAAAATACATCCCTGACGGACCATCCCCCTTCTTGATTTTGAACCATGTAGTGTCTCCTTGCTCTGTTCTGACGACTGTCTGTTGGTCCAAGTATAGGTTTTGCATAAGAACAAGTAAATGTTCTGGGATTCCCATTCTTCTCAGTGTCAGCCACAGCTTGCTGTGATCCACACAGTCAAAAGCCTTTGCATAGTCAATGAAACACAGATAGACATTCCTCTGGTATTCTCTGCTTTCTGCCAAGATCCATCTAACATTAGCTACAATTTTCCTTGTACCATGACCTCTTCTAAACCCAGCCTGCACATCTGGCATTTCTCTGTTGACATATTGCTCCAATAGTTTTTGGATACTTTTCAGCAGAGTCTTGCTTGCATGTGATATTAATGATTTTGTTCGATAATTTCTGCACTCTGTTGGTTCACCTTTCTTTGGAACGGGAACAAATATCGATCTTGCCAGTCAGTTGGCCAGCTACCACTAAGAATAAAAGCAGCTAATCCAAGCAGGAACATGGCCTCCTGCCGGGGCCATGAAGTTGGAGATAATAAGCACACTGTAAGAGACTTCATATATCTGTATTTTACGAGCTTTGGCCGCGTACTGCACAGCATCCTATGCTGCTAACGTAAAGGTCACGTGTCACAGGTAGTTTGAATCTACCAGTAACTCCTCAGGAGAAAGATGGCAGACCCTTCCCATTAAGATTTTTAACCTCACAAACCCAGTTACGTGTCAGAACTGACTTAATAGAAGTATTGAATTTAGTGGGTTCCCCGCCCCCTGTCTGTTTGAGCTTCTTCTGTGAACCAAGACGGAAGACAGACAAGATCTCATCTTATGTATTGCAAATATAAGGAAGGAAAAAGCAGTATGGGAACAAATAACACAATAAACTTTTAAAAAAAGAATATGGTAGCTTATGACAAGTTCTATGTTGTATTAACGTGAGTGATGTAATAGAAAAAGGGTTCTTACGTGTACTGGATGTTTACTGAGATGGGGAGGAACAAAGTTAAGGAGGATCTGTCAACAATTGCAGCTTGCTCGGATCCACAATCAACACTCTTGGCACCAGCAGTCAAGAAATCAAAAGACACTGAATTGCACTGGGAAAACCTGCTATCTGGGACCTCTCTAAATTGCTTACAGCAGTAATGTCAGCCCAAGTTTTGCCTGATTCTTACTATGGTCTTCACAATTACTTGTGAAGTAAGTAATCAAAGAGCTGGACAATGACTAGGCATGACAGATAAAGAATTGGTGCTTTCTAGTTGTGGTGCTATAGGAGTCTTGAACATACCATGGGCCACCAATAGAACAAACAGATTTGTCCTGGAGAGGGTGAAACCAAGCTGCTCCTGGGAAGCTAGGATTTTGAAGCTCCATCTTACTTACTTTGGGCACGTGGCTAGGAGGGACCAGTCCTTAGAGAAGGACATCATGCTTTGAAGGTTGGAAGGATAGCGGAGGAGAGGAAGACTCCAGATGAGATGGATTGATACAGAAACTGGGGTAATGGTTGTAGGTGTGTCATAGTCAGTGAGACTAGCTTAGGAGAGAGCAGGGTTCTATTGTACCCAGGTCACTATGAGTAACAGGCAAGTCAATGGCACATAATGACAACATAGCAATCAAGAGTTTTGGGTTGGTGTGTTTTTTCTGAAATGCTACTAAATGTGTGGAAGGACACTTTAAGTGTTTCATGACATAATGTAGTTGGGAGTTCTAGAAAAGTTTGGGGATGGAGATATGGATTTTCTCTAAGTAAGAAAAGATATAAAAATGAAAAGCAGTTACTACTGAGTTGATTCCGATTCATGCAGACCCAGTATGTGCAGAGTGGAAATGCTCCACAGAGTTTTCAAGACTGTCAGATGGCTTGTCAGAAGCAGATAGTCAGCCTTGTCTTCAGAGACACACCTGGGGGGCGGGGGGTGGGTTCAGACCTGTTGGTTAGTAGTTACTTGCACCGCTCGGGTACTCTAGCAACCTCTGAGTGGCCTTGAAAGCCTCATCTAGCTGAGTTCACCGGGGAGACAGCCACATCTCAGAAAGATCCAGGAGCTGTGGAAGAAGCCGTGAGCAGAGCAGCCAGGGTCCCCGGACTAGGCCAGGAGTGTGGTGCATTGCAGTCCTCTGTGTCTAAGGTACGGGGGTCAGTGGTCATGGTGTAGCATCAGTGGAATGGTTTATAGGGTCATACAAAACTTGTGACATAAGGAAGTGAAGATAAGTTTTTCGAGAAATGGTATTACTTAACAAGATATACAAAGAGGTCTGGAGCTGTAAGGTCAGTTGTTCTCTTGTGACTGGTACTTTGCCAAAGCTTTTTATGTAAGGGAGCAGTTTCATTTTCACAAAATTCTACTTTCCATTCTACAGATGGAAAAGGAGACACAAAGATCAGTCATAGCCTAAGATCCAAAAGTAGGTGGTAGGGATGGGGTTTGAACCAATGTCTCTGACTCCAGATTCATTCAACAAGCTACAGCTCTAGTGTAGCTAAAACACTACTCTTTCATGAAGAGATAATTCATTAGGATTTTCTGGTAACTAAAAAAAAAACAAACAAACAACCAAAAATGTGCTTGACTAGAATATTTATTTCAGGATTACACCATGAGATTTCAAAGCGGCACAAACTTTATTGATTTTTAAAAAGATCCAAAGAAAATGTCGTTTATTTTCTCTAGAGAATTATTGTTTATCTACTGCTTCAGGTTGATTAAACTGGAATTCCTGACAGGAACATTTGCAAAAAGAGAGAGATCAGAATATTATGTATTGTGCTGTGAAATAAGAGACCGCCCCACGTGACTGCTGATCCAGTCAAAATAATTGGCTACTTTGGTGTAAACGCCTGGATGCTCGGGTTCTCCACAGTTTTCACCCCAACTCACAACACCCCAAACATAGGCCACGTTGTTAGCCATACAAACTAAGGGGCCCCCAGAGTCCCCTTTACAGGCATCAATGGAGCCGTCATGGGTACCTGTGAAAGAAAAGAGAGATAAGAAAATCACACATTTCCCTTCATTTGGCAAGGAAGCCACACTGTCTTCCAACAATATTTGTAACATCTTAGCCTTTCTCATTCTTGCCTAACAGGATGTATCATGGGCTCCCTCACAGGCTCCTGCTGGGCCCCGGAAATTAGAGATGCACATTAAGGATACTTAATAATTTTTTTAATTATTCCCCAAATTTAACAAGTACTCTCCCCTTCCCTCTCTCTGCTGTGCTGTATGCAACCATTTATTGAGAAGAGACAGCAGCCTGAAAGTAGCACTGAAGGCTGAGAGAGGGAAATTACAAAAATACCTTATGCTCATAGAGTATTTAATATGCATCAGTCACCATTGTTCTAATTGTCACCATAAACCTAGGAGGCATGGGTCATTATTATCACTACTTTGTTATTGGTTTGTGTGCCACAGAATTGGAACTGACCCATACATGACCCTCCAGCAGGTTTTCAGAGGCAAAAAAATCTCATGGGAGGAGACAGTCCATCTTTCTTCCAGGGAGCAGCTGGTGGATTCGATCTGTGTACTTTTGGGATTGGAGCACAGCTTCGTACCTGTAGGCTACCAGAGCCCCTATCCCTACTTTAGTGAAGCAAATAAGGCACAACGAAGCTAACTAGCTTGCCCAAGGTCACATAGCTAATAAGTGGCACAGCCAAGCAGCCAGGCCTCAGAGCAAGTTCTCTTAACTATGATTCTGTCTCCTGGCAGATGTGCTATTCTGTCCTTTCGTGCTGTGTCATCTGAGTGCCATTTCACGATGGAGAGAGTTCGGGGAGTTGCCTGTTTACTTTCTCCTCAATCCTATGGCTTTCCAAAAAAAATGATACAAGGGCAATAACTGTGTCCTTTAGTAAGATGGTGCTCAGAAATGTTTTCAAATTCAGTATCAGTGTCCTTATCTATGGAGACCCCTAATTTTGTAGGAAAGATAATTTACCATAAGTCCGATGATCCATAATTTGTAAAAACTGGGCCATACAATAAGAGAGATGCAAATCACAACCACAGTGAGGTACCATTTACTCCCGTGGTAGTGGCAAAGTTTAACAGGACAGCAAGTAATAAAAGTTGGAGAGGATATGGTGAAATGGGGATTCTTATTCACTGTTGATGTGGAAATGGTACAACCACTCTGGAAGGCAGTTTGGCACTTCCTCAAAAAGCTGAACATAGAAATTCCATATGACCCAGCTATTCCACTGCTTGGAATACACGCCAAGAAAATAAGAACTGAGGCTCAAACAGAAACTTTTACACCAATGTTCATAGCAGCATTATTCACCACAAATGAATGGATTGAGAAGTTGTGGTACATTCATACAATGGAATACTATGCAGCATGCAGGAGCAATGATTTTGTAAATTATTACCTAACTTGGGAGGGACTGGAGAGCACTATTCAGAGTTAACTAACTCAGTCCCACAAGGACAAATAATATATAAAGCCATTATTGTAGAATGAGTATGAGGATCCAAGGCGGAGGGAGGTGTGAGAATAGAGGGGTGAGGTGAGGGGGTAAGGTGTTAATTATGTTGTTGTTGTTGTT